AAAACATGCAAAAATAGGGTTTATTCCTTAAAGAACTGAAAAAAAAGGGATTTGTGGTCATTATAACAGGGATTTTTATGATCATTATTATTGTTATTAGTTAGAGGGAAAAGGGTGTGATGGCCTCTTAAGGATTTTTCCAAAATGTAAGATTCCTGTTTGACTCACCAACTGTTTTTTAGTCCTCTTCTGACAATGAAGCACACCCTGTTTCTTTTCACTGAAGTATCAGTTCTAGTTGCCTGTGACTTGCCTGTTAGCAAGTATGAAAACAAAACCCTTTTACCATCCTAGAGCTTGGGCTGGGACGTAGGGGAACAGCAGACAAAGCATTCATCAGTCCCACAGGTTTTAGAAAAAGCTGAACTGATGCCAAACTTTCTATTGCCAGTAAGTCCTTCGTGTAAGAAATACTGGTAGGAGTTTGAGGTTATGATGGAGGCCCTGGTTTGGGTACATAATGAAAAGCTGGGGCTCAATTTCAAACTGCAAAACCCTTTTTTTGGTGTTTTTGTGAATCTTTCTTAAAGAAACTTCAGCTGTACCAACACTGAGAATCCCTACTCAAACCTGTTTTGGCGGAACTGCCAAGCAGAAAACCAGAGTGCCTGGAAACACACTTCTAAACTCCTCACTAAATCAGCTCTATTGCAGTCTTCTGAATATCTGTCCTCCAGAATAAAACATTCTTGCAGCCAGTTGCTGCAGTTATTCCTGCTGGAGAACCTCAGGCAGGGAGAGGGGATTTCAGTCCTACTATGGATTCCACCCCTAGCCAGGTACATTTACTACAACTTCTTATCCTTGGAAAGTGGTGGTGGCTCTGCAGGGACAGCAGGAGGGTGATGTGCCAGACCTGATGGACACACCAGGTCAGGATTGATTTCTTCTGTTCTCTGGCCTTTCTTGGAGAGAACCCAGAAGGAGTTCAGAAAGCCCTAACCAGCATGGATTTTGTTAATCACAGAATATTCTGAGTTGGAAGGGACCCACAAGGATCACTGAGTCCAGCTCTTAAGTGAATGGCCTGTGCAGGGATTGAACCCACAACCTTGGTGTTATTAGCACCATCTTCTAATAAAAAGGATGATGTCAAATCACAGAATCATTGAAGTTGGAAGAGACCTTCAAGATCATCTAGCCCAGTCATAAACCCAGCACCACCATAATCACCCTTAATGCAATAAGTCAAGTGCAACACCCAGACACCTCTTGAACAGAAATATACTTCACCTAAACTTACTCTTTGCATTATTATGCTTGTCTGAATTTCTGTTTCACTACACACTTGGCCCATCTGCCCTCAAAGAAATTCAGCTATACCTGTTATTTATGGACAGATGCTGATCTCATGAGGATTGAGTTGTTTTAGACTGCATTATTCTCCCACATCAGGGTGTGCTGTTTTTATGCCTTCTATCCTAGAAATGCTCCACTCAAGCTTACATGACCCCAGTTGCTGCCCAGGGCTAAAACCTTTTTCCAGGCTTAAAGAAACGGCAGTCTGGTGAAGCAGCCAGGACTGTACAGGCTACCAGTACTATGGCAGGGGAAATTAGTCCTTCTCTCTTGCATCCAGGTTTCTTATGTGACCCACTTTAATGGGAAATTAAACTTCTCTTGTTCTGATAGATTCATAGCAGTTGATCCTCAGCTTTTACAAAATAGTCAGGGCAGATCTTCTGAAGGTCAAAAGGCATTTCTGGCAGCATACAGTTACTCCCTCATCTGCTAATAGGTCTATCTGTGACAACACCTTCTGTGTTGCAGGTCATTAATACTGTTCACATTAGCCTCAGCTCAGCATTGGCCTCTGTGGCCAGAGAATGTCACGGAGAGGGAGTGAGCTGAGGTGTCAAGTTGTTCCAGATTTTATAAGTGAAAATGGTGGCATCTTGCAACTAAAGACTGCAGAGCATGTTACACCCATCAGTTAACATGGGATGGGATCCAGAAAAGGTCTTGGCAGAAGTTTTCTTTGCTCACAGACCAAGACCCTCTCAGTCACTGCCTAAACTTACTACATACTTTGCATCAGCAAGGAAGAGAAGCACGGCTTGCCCTAAAAGGGAAGGTCTGGACCCCCTCCTCTAACTGCGCCCTAAATCTGAGACTGTTATTTCTGTTGCTTTTGCTCCATGACCCCACAACTTCACGTTTCATTTGTGTAGCAAAACTGCTTCAAGAGGGGGATTAGAGAGAGATCGCCCTCCATCACCTGCTTCCTGTCCGGCTCCTCAGTGAGGTTGTGCAGAGTTTGAAACTCTTCCAGTCACCTGAGGCTGAGACAGACTGAGCAACCAACTATTAACTTCTAATTAATAACCTAACAGCTCTTCATTAATGAGCTAATTAGCAGAGAAGACTCTGCCGCTGACTCCAGAAGACACAGCTGGGCTGGGAGCCCCCCTGCAAGGGGCCAAACCCTTCTCCTGGGCCCCAGGAGCTGATTGTGGCAGCCGCCCACCTGTGCCCAGTTAACCCCAGCAACCCCCAGAGCACCCAGGGCTGTGCTGGGCTGGAATTCGCCTCAGGTGAGCAAAGCCAAAGGGGCCATTTCCCGGCGTGGCCAGACCCTGTGGGCGAGGGCTGGTGGGGACGCAGCTGCCCTCACGCTGGTGCGCCATGTTGTGCCAGGGCTTGGCAGCAGCCTGGCAAGGGTTAACCCCTGGGAACTGCTAATTACCCCTCCAGAACTGGTTAATTACCCCTCCAGGATTGGTTAATCACCCCTCCAGAGGTCTTTAATTACCCCTTTCAGGGGACAAATAAGAGCAGTTGTGAGTAGAGACCAAGGCAGGAGAGAGAGAGACAGAGGCTTTGCGGAAGTGGAGAAAAAAGGTTAGTAAATCAGTTTTTTTTTTTTCAAAAATGCCTTTTTTGTTGTGTGTTTTGTTTTGTAAGAGGGCTGTGATATGTGGCTTCTTTTGGCTGGGAGGACCCCTCACCGAGGCAGGTCCTGCCCTGTGCCTGGCTGTGCTGCTTGGCCCCTCGGTGGTGAGGAGGGGGGCCATGGTGACAGGGGTGGCTGTGTTCTTTGTGCCTTGGGAGCATTGGGAACACCCCAAACTCCTTGTTTCCCTCTCTGCCCCCGAGCTGGGGTGGCCCCAATGCCCAGGCTGCGTCTTGTACAGAAATTATTTGCTCTTGTTGGCTCAAATCTCGTGTTGCTGCATGCATTACCCTGGAGTGAATCATCTACCCCATGACTTGGCTTTTACTTTTTTAAAATGAGTCCCTTTCCTGTGGAACAGGATGCAGATATGCCTTTGTTTCTTTCAGCCACCACCTATTTCTGGTTGGTCTGGTAACTCACTCAGCTGTTTGGCCCCGGTTTGTGGGGTTAAGAGAGTGTTCAAATTCCAGTGCCCCCATACAAATGCTGTGCACACTGTGGTACAGGTGGTGCTGTTTTCTGTGGGGTGTGACCTATAATCCCCCCCAGCCTGGTTTATAAACTTCCTAGGTGATCCTCTTGAGGCTGGGATTTTCACTTGGTGGGGGGCTGTCTCCCTGAAGCAGCAATGGGAGGTGGTCACTCACTTATTTTTAGTCATAAAGAGCTCTAAAATTTTTCTTTTTTTACCCTGCTAAGCTGGCTTTCTGCCTTAAAAAAGGATGAAAAAGAAAGCAACCTACCTGCTTTATGTTTTTTTGTCTAAGTGGTGAACCTTTTGTGGTTATATGGAACGTTATTATTGCTGCTGGTAGTTCCTGCTGGGTTTTGTTCGGCTTCTAATCCATCTTGAGAATTTATAGTCGTGTGTAATGGAGGCACTGGAACAGAGTTACTGCTGCATGTGAGGGCTTAAACTTGGAATGACAGTGTTTTCCCTCAGTTTTGGTCCAGTGGGTAGGTAAAGGAGGATGTAAGCTGTGAGCAGTAGACTAGCAGTGGTGTATCAAACAACATTATTCACAGCTGGAAGCTCCTGCTGATGCTGAGGAACTCAAAGTGGTTGGCAGCTCCTTTGAATGCTTCTCCTGTAGTATCTGCCTACTACCTGCCTTTCCCTCCCCAGCTTTCTTCTCATCTCCACCAGCACAGCAGCCACCTGTGGTGGGGCAGAGCAGAGGGTGATGGCAGCTGGTTCTGCTGGATAAGCAAGCAAGGGAAAAACATCAGTCATGAGAGCTGAGGAGACTTCTGAGCCTTCTAAAAATGGGGGAAGGGTACTGCCAAATAACTCTGGTGACTGCCAGAAGACAACTCAAAAAAAGACTGGAGTGTTGTGATAATGGGGAGTGGCAAGAGAGGTGGAGTTGGAAATGCAGGCAGGGGAATCCATTCCTAATCTTTGGTCCATCTGCCTGAGTTGCTTGCTGGGTTGCAACATAACCAATCCAGAGAAAGCAGGTCCTTGAGCCATCAGGTCCCCTGTTTCAAACAGGAGAAGTTTTTGTAATTGAAGGGCATGCACCCTCAAAACTTTGTCCCAGATTCAAGTTCACTGAATGAAAAAAGCCAGTTCTGCCATTACCTGGGCAGTTAATAAGATCTATTGCCTTATGATGGATTTTTTTCTGCAGGCTAGAATGGATCTGTCTTCATTATGGTTTGTGAGATTGAGGGGAAAACACAAAATATAATCTGTATTTCTACTGCACTGAAAAATTTCACTGTGTTCTCCTTCTAAGGCTTGGAAGTAGCCAAAGCTGCAGCAGTCATTTTTTTGATTTATTGAAAACAAAGCATACCTTATTAACATTTTAATAAAGAGAATCTCTTTGCAGTGGTGCTCAGAGTTGCTCTTATTACTCTCTGTGCAATTCCATTTTCTGACAGGGAAAATACCATCAAGATCTGTAAGGCATGATGTGTTAGACTGAAACTAAACACACAAATACACCAAAGCAAAATGCTTTCTAAAGGTGCTGTGTTTGTGAGAGGTGCTTGCCCAATATGTGTGATGCAAAATGGGGATGCTTTGTGAAGAAATCATCCTTGTAAAGCCATTGGTTCTGGTCATCAGACTCTATCCAATGCTTTAGTGATGATGCTGCTGATCTATTTGGGAAGTTGGCTGGCTCTCAAGGCAGAGTCTCTTCTCAAAGGCTGTTTCACAGTGAAAATATGCTCAGTGCAGCCGAGTGCATGAATGAAAAAGCCTCTGGTACCTTCTAGTCTGGCAAAATGCAGCACAAAACTCAACTTACTCTGTCTTTTCTGCTGTCCCAGGTAAGAAATGTGTGTTTTTTCCTTGCTTTCTTTCATCTTTCTGCTTTTGTGCATTTGGATTTGAAAGTATTTGTAATTCAGGTCTGATTTCTGAGTAATTATACATTGCTTGAATTACTGTTTAAAGATGCAGGATCTCTGCTCTAAGCCAGTTGCTAGGAATGTAGAATCTCGTAGTTCCTTGATTTACAATTATAACCAATTTGCCGTGTGATATATAGCATTTTTCTGTTTCCCTTCAGGAAAGGTGGTGGGGGGAATCTTTCAAGTGTCTCGGTTGCAGCTGCAGCAGCAATATTTTCTGTCATATCAAATGCTGCAACTTTGATTTGCCTCTTCCCTCTGTGGCTTTTGCCGGGTAGAAGGCTGTTACGGGCAGCTCACGTTATTTATTGCTTGGTTTGGTTTTTTTTTTTTTTTTTTAAAAGAAGAGGAGGGGGGAATATGGAGGAAAAATAAAATCAGACCTTGCAAGACGTTCCCTTCCCCGTACTCTCCTGATAGATGTGTAATACTCTGTTAGTGACTTGCTATGTAGCCTCTCTCTTATTAAATGTAACAGATCCCCCTCTGCCAGAAAGCAGAGGAAAAAACACCCAGCCTTAAAAACACGGAGCTGCTGAAGCCCCGCTGCTGCTGCCTGTCAAAGCATGGGGACTCGCTGGGCTTTGACTTCCCAACACCTCCTGGCTGCTCTTTTCCTCTTGCCGCCGTTACAGGGCTCACTCTTTTGGAAGCTCAGAGGAGGTTTGGAAATCCTTTGTTGTCCAGCTTAAGTGCATCCTTCCTTCTTTTGTCTCGGGAGCTCTGTAAACTCTTGCGTTTAGTGACAGTGGTGCTGATATCCTGAGTAGGGATAAAAGTTAATTCCTTTTTGACTTGAGATCGAGCGGTTTTGTGTTAACCCTTAGGGGGTTGGGGGGTTTTGGAGTGTCAAACTAGTGCTTGGGACGCTGAGCCTGAGCCCTCGTGCCTGTGTAGCTGCAATCTCCAGCAGGCATTTGGTCTGCTTTTCCAAAATAGGATGATAAGGCGAAAAATGGTGAGGGCTCATCACTGGGAGAGCTTTATTGCTGAGAGGAGCCACACAGTGTGTAAGTAGGAGGCAGTGGGGTGAACTGAATGTGTGCATGCTGTGGATCAAGGCTGGGCTATTTAGGTCCTGGTTTAACCTGATAAGGAGTAAACACATGAACGTGGGTGGCTGAAGTTATGGGACAGTGGGAGACTTGGTGACTGGGGATTTGCTGTGAGCAAGCACAAAGGCATTTGGGTTGGGTTCGGGATAACAGCCCTGCTCCAGGGAGTGGAACAAATGAAAGCAGCTGCTTTGGGCCATGGATATGGTGCAGAGCAGCGTGTGCTTGTGACATACACAAGGGGTTCCTTGCAGGGCCACTCTGACCGCCTGCGTTGGGGCTCTGTGGCTCTGTCCCAGGGCTGGCCCATGGGCACCTCGCCAGCTCTGCTGGGACTGGCTGAGCTGCTGCTCCTGGGAGGGCTGGGGAGACCCAGAGGGCTCCTGGGAAGGAGAAGTTGTCACAAGTGGGCAGAGATCCAGCCTGGGCAGGCAGCTGGGCTGGCAAAGCTGCCAGTGAGAAGCAACGCTCAGGGAGCAGAGGGGCTGGGGGAGAGGGCACACACAGTGCAAAGGTAACCTGTGGATATACTGAACTGGAGCTCTCTCATCTTGGCCTGGAGACCTCCCATCTGGTTTCCTTGGCTTTCTCTGGTTTTAGTATTTTTTTTTATTTTTTTTTTGTGCAGCTTCTCTAGCACACCACTGAATTAATCAGCTAGAGTTTAGATTTTCTTTAGCGGCCCCTTGTAGGGAAAGCAATATGTATGTGACAGAACAGGACAGATTTTTAAGGCCTGTTAAACACAGCTGCATTTTTTTAACACTAATGTCTACTTAAAATTTGACAAGGTGCAGACACCTGGTTCTGAGAACAGCTGTGCAGTTTATTGATAACTTTCAGCCATGCTTCAGAGTTTCTTCCCTTGCTGGGCTGAGTTCTAATGTAATGCAGGGCTGAGCTTGTGGTGCTTTAGCACTGCTTTACGTGCTTAAACTGCACTCCACCTTCTTTATTAGCATATACAGCTCTATCTGGCAATGTCTCTACCTTGTGACTTAATGCATCTCCAAGTTTACTTTATAGATCATGTCTAAGAGTTAATGAATTGGGGAATGAATCAGGCTATAATATGGAAGTATATGTAATTCTGCCTTTAGGTATAGGTTGAGTATTGGCAGGTTAAAGCATCAGTTGAAGTTGATGGCATGTGAGGGAGAGAAATGAGAATTACTGAGAGGCTGCTTGGCTCCTCTTGTTGACAAGCCACATGCACAACTTTCATGTGACAGGAAAAGTAAACAGAAGAATGTGAGAAACAACATATTAAACAAATGCAGCCATCTGGCTGTGTAGTGGTTGTAACACATTGGGGGTTCTTTTTCTGTAGGTTTTCTCTTTTTCTCTCTTAGGAGTAGCAAGACTGTCTCATATAATACAGCGCCAGTGGAAACCAGAAAAGCTCAATTTTGATAACACTCTTTCTGAGCAGCAGCAATCTAGTAATGCAATACTCTCTGTGGAAGAAGGAGATAGGAATAACTTAATGATAGCAAAATTTCCAACATAGAAAAAAGTTTGAGGAAATTCTTATGTTGGTAAGAATATGAGCTATAAAAGGCTTATTTTTTATCAGTAGATCATGTCTAAAATTAGTAGCTTTGGTTTTGTGTCTTCTTGGTCTGTATCTAATTCAACTGCATTTTGAAGTATAAAATTTGCCTTTTGAGGCGTTAAAAGGATGAGAAATCACTTTTTCATGTCAACAAAGCAGCCCATCAATTATGTTTGTAAAAACTGTGGTAGAGATGGACAATAAATTATTCTTTCCTCTTGCAAAGACTTAGTCTACACTACTGCTACCAACTGTTTGTCCTTATTTCACCAAAAGGAAAACTGAGCATTAGCTGGAGTAACTGAGGAAGATGTTTCAAGTAATCCTTTAGTTCAGACTCACCTTTAAAACTCCAAAGCATAACTATAACATACAGCTTTATTGATCTGAAGCTGACAATAAAAACGAAATGTACTCTGGTAGCTTATGCAGTTCCCTGTGCAGGGTACAGTAAGCAGTAAATACGCACTCTGATGTGAGAGATTTAAAAATCTGTGTGTTTTACATTTTTCCCAAAGGATATTTTCTAAAGCCTATGTGCAGAATATTTGTTTTAAGACAAGTTTTTCACAGCCTTTCTTTTGTGTGTTACACATTTTGTGCAGACACGAATCAAAGTGAAATTTGTAAATAAAGCTTACAAGAGGAAGAAACTCCACATTTTTGGTAGTTGCAACCCATTGAAACATGACAATTGGAAAATTGTATAGATTTTTCAAGCTTGTCGTTAAAATGAACAGAGAAAATTAGTCCTCAAACTCTCTCCCCTAATGCAGAGCCCTCACTGCTGCATTCCTAAGCTTTTAGTTTTTCGGATTTCTCCAGAAGAGGGCTCCATGCACAGCTTAAAAGGCAGCGCCAGGTATTGAGAGCAAGAGAAATCTGTCAGCTTCAGGAAAAACAGAAACATCTTGTTCACACAGAGTCTGTTGGCATAACGTTGGAGACTATGCTCAGATTTTGACCGAGTATTTCCCTGTTCTATCAAGTTACTGTAGGTCTTGTTTTTTTGGTGTTTTTTTTTTTTTTTTTTTAAGAGTTCTTATTATTTGGGAGTTCTAGAGAAGTCCTATGTCTCTTGTGCTAAATAACAGTTCTAAAATTGCTTTAAAAATGTTAGAAAAACTCACTTGCCAATTACTATGTATTATTATTTGTACTGAAAAGCATTTTGTGAGCAGGCTGACTCTTGGTCCTCACAGTTTCAGGCCATCACTTTTGGTTATGTTGTCAAAAATGATCTTCCATTTGCATGTCTCAATCAAAAGATGGTGTTTCCCAAAACACAGAGCCATTCCAGCAGTTGGACTGTGCTATTTATCAAATATTACCTTGGAGGGAAGGTTGGCACCTAGTGAGTTAGTGTGACTTTTGACAGCAGCTCTACCTTGTAAAAATACCCTTTTGTAGGACCTGACCACAGTCCTTACTGCTAAGCAAGGAGGTTTGTTACAGTAGACAAGTGGAAACTGGTCATGAAAATGCTCCTGGAGTTATGGCATTACAGTTAAAACCCACTCTGGGCACCCCCTGAGACTCAGCCTTTCAACTTAAGATGTAACTCAGGCATTATGTTGGGACCTGCTTTCTGTTTCTGATGATCAAAAATCGATAAAGGTTGTCCTAGCACATGTGATATTTGTGCTGTGATCCACTGGGAGTTATTGATTTGATTTTTAGTGACTTGAGAGCTAGGAAATTAGTATTCCTAAAAGCTATCTCTGTGGAGCAGTGCAACAGGAACTATTAGAACTACATAGGTGGCAACAGTGGTGCCTCTTCAAGGAGACATCAAGTTCTGCCTTTCCTTTTCTTCCTGTTTGCTGCTGGATAAGTAGGCTCTTCCCATTCCATTAATATGTAAGAACAAGGTAGATAAGAGCTCTCAGTGTTACACTCTTCCTGCATTGCTGCTGGAGTCACATCTCTGACCTTCAGCTCCTGGGTTGTTACCAATATGCTGCATGTCAGGATTTTGGCCTCAGGTTTCAGAGTTCCTCCTTTTAGGAGGAGGGGGAGCTTCATTTGGGACTTGAAGCAGAAAGGTCAGGTTAGTGAGTTTAATTGTTTCGTGGAAATAATTTCTTCATTCCATCTTCGATAGCTACAAGCACAAAATTCACTGGTGTTCTAACCAAAGCTTCATCTGTGCAGGCAACAAGACAAATCTCCCATGTCCACTGGGGAGGAGAGACAGAATGAGAGGGATTTATCATCCTTAGGAGACTAAGTGGGCTATAGCACTTCCCAGTTAACTCTGGATGATATTAGTGGGTTCTTGATTGTGGCCATATGGTTGCACTGTG